TTTGCTAAGGTGCTGGAAGCCTCAGTGAGTCCAAACTGATATTAAAGATTTCCACACACTTGGATCGATGCAATACAGAGTTTGTGTAAAACGAGTGATGTGGATGATTATTTCCCGTTCAGGGAAATTTTATTACAATTCTGTCTGTATTATGTTTTTTTTTTTTTTTCAATCATACATACCTAATAGGCTTCTTACAGACAAATTCAGTGGGTTTTTTTTTTTTGTCCCTGTCACTTGGCCATTGTTCTATTAGACCATTTACATTTACTTTTCTTCACAGAAGTGAATTAAATGCTGAGATACAGGCCTACTGTGTATATTTTTAAAGTTTTGTAGCATGTTTTAAAATCAGGAACCTCTGAAATCAAGGACCCATTGTGACAAAATGTTGGTATCTTTGTAAACTACATGTTGTGAGAACGGGGAGACTGGCAGGTGATTCCTCTGCCATTTTCTTTAACCTTTTGTTCCCTCTCCATTTCACTTCACCTTTTCTTTCTTTCACCCATCGATCTTCTTGTCTCTCTTCACCCCTCTCCTCCCCCCTTTGTCTCCCCTCCCTGCCCTTTACTATCCTTCTGATCTCTTTCCTCTACCTCTCGAATCTCCACCGCTCTTCACCTCCTCTGCCCTTTCGGCACATTGTCCCTTCTCCTTCCATCAGCAGCAGTAGCAGGAGGAGGCACGACAGCGAGGAGGGCGACAGCCACCGGAGGCACAAACACAAGAAGAGCAAGAGGAGCAAGGAGGGTAAAGAGGCCAGCGAGGACATCGGCGCAGACCAAGAGAACCAGGAGGCCATGGAGTAGTGATTACCCCCCTCCTCTTTTCCCTCGCGCTGTCTGTCTGTCCCTCTATGTCTCCGACCACCAAGATAAGAAAGAAGGAAAGGGAGAAGATGAGACCAAGAAAAGCAGGAAGACGCAGAGCGATCGATGCGTCCTGTCACTCCCCTCTCCATCAATCTCAGTTCTCCTCCACCCCGCTGTCGTTCATCCTCACCATCACTTCAGACGGAGAATGGATGGAGTGGAGGAGGTGGTAAAGGAGGGATGATGGTCCTTTTTACTTCTTCTGTCTTTCCATCACCAGCTGACATCAGACAGGACATCAATCTGTCTTTAACCTCCTCCTCCCTCTCCTCTCAGAGCACTGCTGTAACAATTAGGTCATGCTCAGAGATTTCACCGTATAGTCTGGACGATCAGCAGATTTTGCTCTTTTTCCGTTTTGTTTGTTTGTTGTCCTTTTGTTCTTGTCCTGTATGAAGACATCTATAGAGAGCTCTCAGTTTAAGTTCAATTAAAAAAACACTTTTGATATGACTTGTCTTTGTGATTTTTAACAAAATAAATATCCCAATTATTCTGCACATACATTAGTTTCCCGATAGTGACTCATATTTATATCACAAGCGTTGGTGATTGTATAGTCATAAAAAATCATTTGGGGTCTGAAATATCGTTCACTCAAAAATCTGCTTTGCTTCTTGTTTCTCTTCCCAGCTTAAATCGGAGTTTAAGACTTGTACGTACAAGCAACCTGACACCTCCATTTTATCTCCAGCAGTTAAACTTTCTAGTCTGTCGTATTTACATATTCAAATATTTCTGGATTTCTGGAATGAGGCAGACGGAGTAGCTGTTAGTTTAACACATTTTAATGACATAATTTAAGTTTTTTGTTGAAATATTACTACAATCAGTCATTTTTGTCTTCAACATGTCTGGAAAATATCTTCTGCAGGAGTATTTTCTTTAAAGATTCTGTATTATTTCCTGTATATTTGTACATAATAGTGTGTACTTAAAGGTCCAGTGTTTAACATTTAGGAGGATCTGTTGGCAGGAATGGAAAATAATGTTTTCTTTAGTATATAATTACCTGGAAATAAGAATTGTACTCTCTTACCTCTTCTCTCACCTTAGAATGAGTTTTTATCTACCAAGGGAGCGGGTCGTCTTTTCCCGAAGCCAACATGTTGAACCAGCATGTTTCTACTGTAGCCCAAATGGACAAACTAAACTTTCCTCCTGGAAGTTGAACAACAGTGAAACCAAATTCAACCAATCCCAGTGAATTCTGCATGACCTTACAATTTTGTCCAGTCACCACAAGTTTGTATCAAAACATTGAGCCATACGTAACCACAATGTCAGAACAGTGCGCTTTTATTCTCAGAAGTTGCCTTCAATTCTTATTTAATTATTAAAACATTTACAACTAATTTTCACTTTCTCTTAAAAGAGAAATACCTAAAAACATCACATCATGAATCACAATTTTTGTTTTTGTTTTGATCAATCACTGGCTCTAAATTGGGCCTTTTGCAAGTTTTGCAGCCACCGTAGTTTCTCCAAGACGGAGATTATTATTATTACTTTGGTCACAATCTCCAACTTCCTCTCTATTTGCCGCTAAACCCAACGCACTGTTTCTTTAACCTTTGTGTGATTTCAACACAGTTCTCTGTGGGGTTATCAGGAGGGGGCAAAGTCAAGTGAACTTCTAATTAATGTTTGATTTGAAAATACTGCAAAGCAAGACTTTGCTGGAAGCATTTGGACTTGTGTCAATAATGTGGTTGACTTGTTTTTTTCAAGTGCTCAGCTTATAAAATGTGTATTGTTAGAAATTAAACATATAAACAGTGTACAAATTATACAACTAAAGCAGGTACAAACAGCTCCACCTCAACCAGTTGCAACATTAAAATACTGCTTTTATATTAATCTGTCAATTTTTTATTTAATTGCTATTTTACTGTTTTATTTAAGTATTTAATACCTAATTACTAATACTGTATTAAAGCTGCTATTTTACAGTTTTACTTTTTACACAATTTAAATTATAACACCCTCAATCTGCATATTGAGTACTCATATACTTTTAATACATTTATTTAAAATTTTTTTGCACAATACAAAAATGCCGCTACTACAAAATATGTTAAATGTGGACAGAGACACTCACACAGTATACAGAAACACTTGCGCCTGTATATATGTCAAGTAGCAGTAAACACAGAGCCTGTGTTGATGAGAAGTAGGAAGCTGAAACCTACAAAAACCTCTCGTATAATCTCAAGGCAGGATCAATATGATTACATTAGATAAAAATAATGAGGAATTACATGACTGGAGGACTTACTTATTTGTAATGGAGTATTTTTGCTACTTCTACTACTGAGAATGATCTGGGTACGTCCTCTTCCTCTGCCTCTGGCTGAAAGGATGAAATAAATATGGCCTATAATGGTGAATTAAGTGGCTTTGGCGGCAGGAAAGCTGCTGTTGCTGAAAGGTGCGAGAATAAACAATATAAACCTTTATGCACTGATTGTTCATGAGTCTCAGTGAGGATTATTAGAGAGATTAACTAAATGCATTAGCATACATACTGTATATAACAGCCTCTACTGTTATATGTGATCGGATCAAGATTCCATCTATTCCTCAAACGGGTCAAAGTCTCCCCTCGCTCTCTCCCCCACTGGGCTGTTTGCTGTGCTTACATCATGTTGGGAGAAAGGTCTGCAGCAGGAAGTGAGGAGATACACCTGGAGGCAAAATACAAGCTGAGTGTGGGAGATAAACAGAGGCTTGAAGAAGAGGTACAGACGGAAAGCTTGAGAAGAACAAGAGACATCTAGAGGATGAAGTGTGTTTCTGTTGTTGTGTTTGTGAGTCTGCTCTCACTGGGACGGGCTGCCCCTCTAAACAGCTGTGAAAGTCTGCTGAAACCAATAACTATCAGCAATGAAGATGTAAGTGCTTTTATGTCTTAAGTATATTGATTTGAACCCAGTTAGACAGATGAATTATGTCTTCTTCTTTTTAAGAAGTCTGCCAGCTTTCCTCCTTCAGGTTTTTTAATCTTGTTAGATTAAATGCAAATGAAGATGAAATATTTATAAGTGCAGTAAATGAGTAGAAGCCAAATCAGGGTCATCATGATCACTATCATGTCTGCTTGTCCCCTCTTGTATAAGGTTGAACATCTTGTTAAACACAGAGGCAGTAAATATATAGTAAATATTTGATCTGATCACATATAGTTCAATGAAACGTTTTCATACTGCATGAAAAATACATACACAGGCACTTAACTGCAAGTTAATCCTTATTTTAAATTAAATGTTAAACTGGAACCATAATTAATAATTCATTTTTAGATCAAACCATATGAGGGAAGATATTTTAAAATGTGAATCCTGTAACAATAAATCAGTAAAACATGAGCAACCAACTAATTGTTTAACCACCGGAGATAAAAGCTTTGTTAAAAATCTATAACTAGATGTTGCCAATCCAAATATTGCAAAATAGGCTGAACACACACACACACACCATGGTTTCTCTTTATTGGTCAGTGAACTTCTTTTAGGCCCCAGTAATGAAAAGCTGACAAATCACATCAGGTTACATTTAGTTTTAATTTAATTGTTTAATTGTTTTAATGTTAAAATATGTTCTAAAACTACTCCATTTCCTGGAAAGAATTAACATGGTATAAATGATAATTAAAACAATAAAACAAGTGTCCTTAAAATGCAGCTATATATTCCTTTAGCATTACATTTTTTAAGGAATTAACTTCTTTTATTTTCTGCTTGTCTGTAGTTGACCTACGTTATCCTATAGAAAATAATTGCAATTATTGAATTATTTATTTTGAATCTATCACCTTTAACACAGTCTCTTCTTCATAATTAGGACAAAATGATGTTATTGTTTCTTCAAAATGTCTTTTAAATTATTATGAAATTATTCAGTCCAGACCTCGAATTACAGACCTTTAAAACAAAGCGTTCACCAAACATGGCATCATTTTGTAATCAAGTCTCAAGTCTGTAAATAGATTTTTTTTTTAAAAACATATTTAATTTAATAAATCAAACAAATGTCCCAATATCCCACAAAGGGGTTCCAGCCCAAAGCTTGAGAAACTTTGACACATATATTCTGTACTCTGTCTGTTGTGCTCCAGATGTTGGGGAGGTGGCTGTACATCGGGGGGAGCTCTGACCTCCCAGGAAGTCGCTCCCTGGGCCATCTGATGACCAGTGTCTGGTTGGACATCGCTGCAACCCCCCAGAGCAACGTCCTCAATCTCATCCAGACTCAGAGAATGTAAATCCCCACCAGCACTGTCAAAATACATAATAAGCATTTTATTTATTTATTTATTTACTTTTTTAGTGCCAGCCTGTATTAGCCAAAAGATTAATATTCATCTGTTGTCCCTTGGCTCATTAAAATCATCATCATGTTCTGATGCAGCCTTTATTTTTATCTTCACAGACACGATAAATGTTCCAGCTTAATATACAATGTGACCTTTGAAAACAGCACAATGTTAATTGGTGAGTGAAGAAGAACCACAATTATTAGATGGATTATTTTGGATATCTGAATTCAAACACTTACATACATTTCCTGTGATTTCCTTTGTGTGTGTGTGTGTG